GCCCCTAATCAAAGCTGGGCTGAGTTGCCAAATGCAAAAAAAAAAAAAAAAAAGAATAATCAAAGAGCAATTCTCACTTGCTGGTTTATACGTTGCTGTAAATTATAGATAGATAGATAGATAGATAGATAGATAGATAGATAGATAGATAGATAGATAGATAGATAGATAGATAGATAGATAGATAGATAGATGTTCAGTACATAATAGAGAATTTAATGAGCAATGTGCATTTCAGCCTCCTGCAATCTTTCTGAATCTTGGCAACTTTAAGATGTATGGACTTCAATGCCCAGAATTCCCCATCCACCATGCTGGGTAGTTGAAGTCCCACCTATCAAAGTTACCAAATTTGATTAACGCTGTCCTAGCACAGATGGCTCTCGACTTAGGACCATAATTGAGACCATCAATTTTCATCGTAAGTCATGATGGTTGTAAAGTGAGTCACCGCATGGCTGCGCTTGATTTTGTAATTGTTGTTTGTGGCGATCTTAAACGAATGGCATGGTTGTTAAGCGAACCCCTGCTATGGGCAGTTTTTGCTTGAAAAAACAAAGTAAACACTGGTTTCAAGCAAAAACATCATAAATCATGCTCACATGAGTTGCTAATGCTGCCCAGGTGCTGAGCACCCGTAATGGAGTCATGTGACTGCAACCATTTTTCTGAACCATTATTTTTTTCCTGTGAACCAATTGTAAATCAAGGACTACCTCTGTAGGCACTATAGATGAGTAACTTCAAGAGTCGGTCCTTCCTCATCATACCTCTTAGTCTTGAATTGAGTGACATCCTTTGCAGAGAATATTGCATTCTTTGAAGCAGGATATATCGAAATGCTTCCTGAATCAGGAATACGGCTGTATTCCGGCAGTGTCTTAGTCAATTAGTCTTGCTGCAAATTGACACAGCAGGATGATCTGCTCCCTGCAACGGCACATTGGAAATTTGGGACAACATTTTCAAGAATGGAACCTATAGACTAGGTTTATAAACCTCTTCAAGTATGACAGCAAGCAGGTTCAACATTTTGGAAGCTGAACAAGGCAGAACCAAGCAGAAACTAAATTTAGTGTAATTGTCATGTAAATATATTTCAAAATAAAAGTATTTAGTAGCCATATTGATTCTAGTTTATGGAAGGTTTTGAGGGTTGCATGAAGCCTTTGGGCGTGTCTAATTTGGAAAACTGTGCTAAGGCTATTGGAAGTTTGCAGGATGTCTCCTGCAAATTTTTGCATTTACATTTACTAAATAAGAAATTTTTACAGGAAACTAAGATAGCTTATCTAAAAGTTGCATTTTTTTTAAAAAAAAAAGCAAACCAGTATTGTCTAAGAGCTTTTAAACTTTCACATTTCTTTTCATTAATTCCAGCACTGATTAACACCTCATTATTCATCAACAGTGGAAGGAGAAATCAACCTCAAGACTTGTCAGTTTGATATAGTTTGAACCTGAATCTAGGGGAAATGAATTTCCTGAATAGTTTCAATTAATTTTTAGCTTGATGTCTGTCTTTTCAGATTGCATGATTAATCAGTTGCATCTTACTGCATTATTTTTCTCTTTGACCTCTAATAAAATCTGTTGGAGCTATTTTTTTTAAAAAAAGCTTTTTAAAAAAGCTTTTTAAAAAAAAGCTGAGAAGAGCCTCTTATGGTATGTCCTAATTTCTTCTCATGTGTGCAAGAAAATGGGCTGAAATAATAAGAGTTCACTTAGAAATTGTAGAAATGGGATCTATGTCCAGGAATATCCATATTTTGCTTTTACAAAATCAGTGGACAGTAGCTCTGTGTTATAATAATACATATGAGGATAGGTCATTAGTCTATGTTAAATTTCTCATACTGAAAATCAAGGTAATACCATTATTGCATTGACAAGCGTAGTTAAGTGCTATTAAGGTTTTTCCAAAAGTTTTTCAGCAATACCATATAGCTGCTTATGAACAATATTTATTCTGTTTTCTGTTCTACTCTGTGAGAATTATTCTGCTTTTTAATGAATTTATTCTAAAGATGATAGCGGGGTAGCAGTTTAAAATTTGACAGGTTGGCATTGAGTCATTCTTAAATTCTGACAGTTATATGGACAACTCTTTGCAGATCCCTACACATTTTCAAAAATCATTTGCCATTGTCTACGGCTGATAGAGAAAGAATGGTTTAAGACTGCCAAGCTGGCTTTTTTGCTTAAGGCAAGGCTACAACTCAGGTTTCCCTGCTCGTAAACTAGCACCTTAATCCTTAGACCCCAGTGGCTTTCAGTGTAATCTCTAGCATTGTCAGGTATCAGGGAAATCACTAATCCAGTGCAAGTTGGCTAAAGATCAGGTAATGATGTGATTCATAAAAGTATGTATGATAGTTTTCTATATATACACACTAAGATAGCCATAATCATTGTATTATAATAATAATAATGATTATGGTGGTGGTGATGGTGGTGGTGGTGATGATGATAGGAACAGCTTCCATCCTGCGACAATATCTGCAATACCATCAAACATCCACATCTGCCTATCCCAGGTCCTTGGTATAAGGACTCGATATGTAGACAAAAATGCCAAATCCAGTCTGAACATCTGGCTGACTGTGAATAATAATAATAATTATAATAATAATAATAGTAGTAGTTGGAAGGGACCTTGAAGGTCTTCTAATCCAACCCCCTACTCAGGCAGGAAACCGTATACCATTTCAGACAAATTGTTGTCCAGTCTCTTCTTTAAAACTTCCAGTGTTGGAGCATTCACAACTTCTGGAGGTAATTTGTTCCATTGATTAATTGTTCTAACTGTCAGGAAATTTCTCCTTAATTCTAGGTTGCTTCTTTCTTTGATTAGTTTCCATCCATTGCTTCTTGTCTTGCCTTCAGGTGCTTTGAAGACTAGCTTGATTCCCTCTTCTTTGTGGCAACCCCTGAGATATTGGAACAGTGCTATTATGTCACCTCTAGTCCTTCTCTTCATTAAACTAGAAATACCCAATTCCAGCAACCGGTCCTTATGTCATGGTTCCGACAGATGAAACCCTTCAAAAGAACTTCTAGGCATTGTTTTCCTTAAGGAATCTTTTATTTGGGAAACAAAGTATCAACACTACATAATTGAACCCAAAAACTAAATTCCCCTCCCCTGGATACAAATTAATGAAGTACAATTCCCACCCCCAATAAACAGTCATAAACCACATTCCCCAATTAGCTTGAACTGTGGGCTTTCTCCCCAGCTCTCCAGCCCACCAAAACATTATCAGCTCTGGACCCAGTTTGTCCTTGGATTCCAGGCAGAGTTATTATTATTATGACTAACTGAACTCTCATTCCAATCCCCCCTCCCAGCACCAAGTAATTCTAAAAGCATAGAGAAAATGGCTGCATTTTCATCTCTTCATTCGATGTTAGCAGCGTTGACATCTATATGTTTTAGCATCCAGTCCTCTGATCATCTTTGTTGCTTTTCTCTGTACTCTTTCTAGAGTCTCAACATCTTTTTTACACCGTGGTGACCAAAACTAGATGCAGTATTCCACGTGTGGCCTTACCAAGGCATTGTAAAGTGGTATTAACACTTCACGTGATCTTGATCTGTTAATGCAGCCTAGCATTGTGTTGGCCTTTTTGGCAGCTGCAGCACACTGCTGGCTCATATTTAGGTGATTGTCCACTAGGACTCCGAGGTCCCTCTCACAGTTACTACTATTGAGCAAGGTACACCCTATACTATATCTGTGCATTTGGTTTTTCTTGCCTAAATGTAGAACCTTGCTTTTTTCACCAGTGAATTTCAATTTGTTAGATAGCGCCCAGTGTTCAAGTCTGTCCAGATCCTTCTATATCTTAAGCCTGTCTTCTGGAGTGTTGGCTATTCCTGCCAGCTTGGTGTCATCTGCAAATTTGATGAGTTCCCCATCTATCCCCTCATCCAAATCATTGATAAAAATGTTGAAGAGCACTGGGCCCAGAACAGAGCTCTGGGCACCCCACTACATACTTCCCTCCATGTGGATGCGGTTCCATTGAGGACCACATGCTGAGTACGGCCAGTTAGCCAGCTACAGATCCATCTGGTGGTGGTGCTGTCTACCCCACATCTGAAGACACCTGACCTCTTTAGCAACCTCTATATCCTTTCCTAAATTTACATCTCTTATAATTGAATCACCAACCAGAAGGTGACTTCCCTTTTTGGATGCCTTACTCTTCTTGTATGACTGATGTGCAATGCCTGATTCATACTTTCCCCTATCCAAAACAAGTTCTTATTTGTAGGGAAGTGTCTATAAATCCTTACAGATGTGTCCTAATGTTTAACAGTGCATACAAAGTTTGAATCATTGTTTGAATCATTAAAGCAGCCACATATATAGTATTTCAGGCTTGTGAAGCTGCTTCATAAGCTATCCACAGCTGTCTCTGCATGCATGGGCATGTATGGTAAGGCCATGTGGGAATTGCATATAGAATGCAATTTAGATTCAAAGAGGAGAAGGTGATTTTTTTAGAACATGTCTGGCATGTATGTGTGACCTGCCAGCTTCTCTTTATATCAAAGAGGTCTTCTTCTGTTAGGGTACGGTGGCAGCTACATGGTATAAAGGAGAACAGGCATAACCTTGAAGAAAGAATGCAGGATTGTTTGCATCAACATCATTTAGGCCCAACAAAGATGAAGCATTGAGGAAGAAACTCAAGTTTGCCTTCCCTTGATTGGCATAAGAGGGGAAAGCAAGAATGTCAGGCTTTTACGATTCTGTTATTATACTCTGTAATAATAAGATGGAGTTCCATTAGTCCTTGTGGAATCTGTTTCCTAGCAGACTAAGCTACTTACAAGGAGCAGACACAGAGGGTTCTTTAGCAAGTTGTTGAGTAATATAGTAAGTGTGGCTATTTGCCCTTTGTTCTTGGAATCCAGTTCACTGCATAACCCTAGTAGAAGCTATGGTAAGTCTTATTTCTACCTCAGTTTCCTATTTATTCTCTCCTAGAAAAGACAAATGTGATTCTACCTTCAAGAAAAATATACACTGTGACTCTGCCTCCTGACGATTATGTACCAGTTGCTGTTAATGAAAACAGTAAAGGATCCTCTGAAAGTGATGCTGAAGACAGTAGTAATGGTGCTCCAGGTAGGAGAAAATGCTTCATTTTAAGCAGTCAGTGCTTAAATATATAAGCTGCAGGTAAATGGAAAGTTGCATCAGTTTACAGGCATGTACAACCATGTATGAAGTAAAGTGTCTGCTGGGATATACATTGTATAAACAGGAAATCATTCTAAAATCAGTGCAGAATCCAGATTGAAACATCCCAGACAGATGCTCTGCTCTCTGAGTAATGGTGAAATGCTTCTCACGTTATGTTAACTTTGTACATATTACAGTGTTTTAACAGTAATCAAAAATAGAGCTGGAAGGGACCTTGGAGGCCTTCTAGTCCAACCCCCTGCTCAAGGAGGAGACCCCATACTATTTCAGACAAGTGGCTACCAATATCTTCTTAAAAATCTCCAGTGATGAAGCATCCACAACTTCTGGAGGCAAGCAGTTCCACTGATTAATTTTTCTCACTGAAGTTTCTCCTTAATTCCAGGTTGCTTTTCTCCTTGATTAGTTTCCGTCCATTGCCTTTTGGTGTTTTGGAAAATAAGTTGACTCCCTCTTCTTTGGGCAGCCCCCCAAATACTGAATACTGCTATGCCCTTCTTTTCTCTAGACTTTTATTAAGGTTTTATAAAGTGGTACTAATACTTCATGTGATTTTGATTCTGTGCCTCTGTTTATGCAACCAAGGATTATATTAGCTTTTTTGGCTGCTGCCACACACTGCTGGATCATATTTATTTCATATTTAATAAGTAACAAGTAGTGAATCGGCAGACCACAATACAAATTAAGCAGGTCTGTTTGGGAAGCTGTGCTAGAAACTGCAGTTGTACAGGTTTCTTGAATTTCATTATTGTCAGGTATTTTGTGTATGCTTGGGTCATATTTCTGAATGTCCAAATAAATATTATTCTTGGTACATAGTAAATTACTTTTTTCAGGGATAGTTCAATACAGAAACTATATTTAAAATGCTATTAATTTAAATTTACTTTATTCTCAGCATTCTTTGAGTACTATTATCAGCTTAATTAAGTATTACTGGACTTACATTTAGTTGAATTTTAATTTGGCGGGGTTGGCAAATAAAGGCACAGCTCCTTTTGTTTTTCATACTACACTACTATAAATGTTAACAAAGGGTAAATCTACTTGCTGCAAACATTTCAAATATATACATAGAATTTCAAATGTAACATTTTTTTTTACATTTCATAATACAAATTAATGTGATATATTGCCTATTTGTATTAAGAGGAGACTGATTAAACAGTCTTATCTAAATGGAAAGATATGTATTAACTTTATCAAAATTCACCTTATCAAAATTCAAATATTCCTTTAAGAACCGTTTCAGATCAATTGACATATAAACTCCTGTCAATTCTAGAAGAAATTGAATAAATTTTAGGCATATATAGCAGTTACCTTTCCCCATTTAAGGACTGCTTCTGGACAAATAAATCTCTTCCCATAGATTTTTACAAAGGAAACAGTTAGTTTGTGGAAGAAGACTTCCCCTTTTGAATAGTGACTACCTGGTGTTTAGTTCAGCCATGTCCGTTTGTGTATCATGTGACCCTGTAGGGAGACTTCTTGTGTTAAGTAGACACCCATCATATTATGACTGCCTCTGAGTAGGTAATCTTACAGAAAATGCCAGATACTTAAGTAAACAGAGACCAACATTATGACATGTAAGTAACAATATAGCTAATACTGTGGAGTCCTTGGCATTCTCTGAGCTTGATTGTTTAATTTGTTTTGTTACCCAACTAGATGACATCATCAGTGCTAGAAGGGGGTGGGGCTATTCTGCTTATATACCAGTGGTGGAGAACCTGTGGCACGAGTGCCAGAGGCGGCACTTGGAGCCCTCTCTGTGGGCACACGTGCCGTTGCCCCAGCCTTGTCTCCCCCCGCGACCTCCTCCTCTCCAGCAGCCCCCCTGAAGGAGAGTCGCCCTCAAGCGTGGTCCACATGGAGCAGTGCAGCCAAGGACATGGCAGCCAGGCAGCGTAGACAAGATTCTGCCCTCACACCCCATCATGCAGTTGATGCTGCTGGACGCGGGTAGAGGATGTGGCTGCCATAGCACTGCTGGGCTGCCTGGGCAATCTGCAGGGGGCCCTGGAGGCGGAGAGTGGTCCTGTGGGCAGGCATGGATGGGGGGGCAGAGCGGGGGCAGAGCAGGGAGGTGGAGCAGGGGCGGGGCCAGTTTTTGGACACTCGGTCTCTAAAAGGTTCGCCATCACTATTATATACAGTCCCTTGCCCTGTCAGTGTTGGTGGGAGTGTTGTTTTCTCTTGATAGTTCCTTAATTAGGCTGAGAGAAGAAAAAAAAATACTGTAGGAAAATGTGACAAACCTAGATGTCACACATCTCTGCACCCATTTGGTTACCAGTTTAAATGGACATGTTTTTATTGTTCAGACAGAATGAAAGATTTGATGGATGTCAGATTGCCTCACTGAAAGCTAAGAAGGCAAGGAACATCAAGAGGAATTAATTTCAGTATATAGACTGTAATCTGGCTGCACACACTTTCTTAGGATTTTCCATTTTTTCCAGTTTTATTATAGTGTTAGTAGAGAAGATTATAATTAACATAATTGTGAGAAGATGGTTTATTTCTTTAACTTTGGTGTCAAGTCTTGTTTGGCTTGACATATAATTTGTATTTTATTGCTGTGTTGCTATAGTGCAGCACATATGGAGGGCATCTCATGTTGCAAAGGCTGCTTTAAGACATGTCCTAGATAGCAAAAGAAATAATACAAGGGTTGCATGAAACATTAGAATGACTTGCTTAATTTGACATTTTAGTGAGTCTGCTAATGTTTTTTTCTCTGAGATTCAGTATCAGGGCAACATTTAATGAATTGGCGATCTAATGCATGTAGTTAAATCAATAACTTAATCACTTCAAGCTGTTTAATTCTTTTACTCTGCTATTCCAATATATTTGGGTTATCAGTTCATTTAAGCAGACTTCTTTTTAGCTTAAAGTCATTCTGTCTAATTTATGAAATAAGTAAAAAAATGACAAAGAAATTAGCATTAATCATATTTGTGTGCTGTACAATTATAGTCAAGGGATCGCTTATTTTGTTAGTTTACTAACCCAGGTGATCAATTATGACCAAAACAGTATTTAATATCTAGACTAATAATTGTGTGATTGCTGTAGTGTAAGCTAATAATAAAAGCTTCTTTGTTTTTGTTTTTATCCTTTTCTCCCTGTGTAGACTTTATTCTGTCCTGTCTACTGCGATTCATAACTTAGCCATGGGATATAGCGCAAGAGTCCATAATGTAACCATATTAGATCTGAGTTAAGCAGATTTGGAGATGGAGACAGAACCACAGCAATCATAGCCTCTCAGAAGAAGTTGCTTTGAGTTTCATAGTAAAAGAAAGCTTTATGTGTTCTGCTTAAAAACCGAAACTTACAATAATTTGAATGTTCTTTTTCATAATCAGAGAGATTTTGAGAGGATTTATTTTCCTCTTGATAAACAAGAGTCTCTTAATGTTGCATAGTGGGTGCCACTTGGAAACAAAAGTCTTAACGATTTTAAAAACTATGACCCTACAAACAAAATTTGTACCTGTGATTATATTCAATAATGACCAGACCCGGAAACAGAATCCACAAATTTGAGTAGAACTTTATTAATAATGACTATAATAGTATAATTTGAGTATAATTACATATATCTGTATGTAATAGGTACTCCTGATGAGATGGGCGACTATATAAATTTGATTAAATAAATAAACAATGTTGAAGGCTGACTAAGTTTTCCCTTCCCTCCCTTTCACTGCGGGTAGAACCAGTCTTTCTTTCTCCTTCCAGAGTTTAAAACTTGCTTGTATTTATGCAACCATTGTCTCAGCTTAGTTTCTCCAAGTTCATAATATCACAGCAAGAAATGCACTATGTGGTTTTTCCATTTTTTCCCAATTCTTGCCTCATTTTTTCTTCTCCCTGCCCTTCTCATCCAACAGTCTCCACCACTCTCTTCTTTTCTGTCTCATATTCCTTTTCTCCCCTTCAGATATGCAGCAAGCTTCCTGTTGTCGTAGCAACGTAACAGTAGACCATTTGCAGGAAGGAGAAATGATGAGGGGTGGCAGGCACAATCTTGTTAGTTTACCAAAGGACCTCCTAAAAGGCTATGTAGATGCCCATATTCATTTACTCACATGCCTTATCCACAGCCTGATCCCTCACATTGATTGGGTGCTTTTGACATTGAACATTTTGACTCCATCAGCTAGAACATAGAATAATAGTATTGAAAGGGACCTTGAAGGTCTTCTAGTCTGACCCCCTGTTTAAGTAGAAGACTCTATACCAGTGGTTCTCAACCTGTGGGTCGGGACCCCATTTGGGGTCGAACGACCATTTCATGGGGGTCGCCAAACAAGGCTGTCTGCCATTTTTTCCCCTTTTCCTTTGGCCACACCACTGGCACCCGGTGATGTATAAGTGGTTGGGGGTCACCACAACATGGGGAACTGTATTATGGGGTCACGGCATTAGAAAGGTTGAGAACCACTGCTCTATACCATTCCAGACAAATGACTGTGCATATGAAAACTTCCAGTGAAGGAGTACCCACAAGCTTATTTTTTCTCACTAGCAGGAAATTTCTCTTTAGTTCTGGGGGGGGGGGGATCTTTGAGCAGATGCCTTAAAGCAGGAGTCTTCAACTTTTTCAGAGATAAAGAACGTGGATTAATTTTGAGATGGTTTGATAGCATGGGGAAGGAAGGGTTTAAATGAATAGTAAAAAGAAAGACTTCACCGGAGTAGTCTTCTATAGTTTCTGTCTTCTCTTCTCCATCTAGTTCACAATCTTGGATCTTACTGTGCATCTCTGGATCTTGGCAACTTGGGATGCCCCCCAAGCTTCAGTGGTAGAGTGGTCAAAAAGAACTACATGTAATATGAAATAAATGTCTATATGTCTGGAAACTAAATACCTAGTATTAGACCTTAAATTGAGATGGATG